CCAAAGACCATCTAACAAAAGCCCCAACAACAGGCATGAGAAGCCCTCATTTGAGTGATTGGTGAGGGTTATTCAAGTGACTCACAAAACACTGTTGCTATTGCTCTTGGTTTCTTCACAGAGGAGTAAGTTAAGTCTCTATTGCTGAAAACACCATGCACTACAGACTCAGGGTCCAGATGCCACTGAGCTGGAACATATCTGAGAGCCTCCTCCCTGATCACTAGCTTTCATGATACCAGAAGGCATCATATAAGCTTCCAAAGGAGGAAATAAAAAACAATCCTATAGTCATGACATCCATGAACCACAACAATGGCGAGCATGGTGTGATAACCCAAAGAGTGTGGTAGTGGCATGCATTCCTTGGCAGGACCCAACATCTCTCTTGTTGGACTTAACACCTGCTCAACAAGAAAGGACTCACGCCTGGTACTGGAAATCTAACCAATGAGCCAGGGCTAGTGAAGTCATGGGTAATGGAAAATAGCCTACAACCACTTCTTTACCAAACCAGAAAAATCTCTAATTACACTCTAAATATTTGTCCTTATATCCACAGGTAAATGTAGTCTTCACCCCTCATCAAAGAAACTTCACTTTGTAACAGAGACCATTACAGATAAACCACAACCAAAATACAGAGTTGTGGAACCTAGTTCCAATAGATACATTCAAGAAACAACTATTGTGTCTAAGTCTCAGGAGGAATAGAGGGCAGAAAGATTGTAAGAGCCATGGGGTCACTGAGTTTGCTGTGAGACTCTCTCCAAGTAATGTCAGAGCAACACCCCTAAAGTCTCACCAACATGACTGCCTAAGCATGAGCTGAACAAAGACAACACAATAGACATGCCAAAGTGGATGAGGGAAATCCTGATGCCTGAACCATGCACAACAAACTACAAGCAACTATGAAATGCAGAGTGTGGGAAAAATAGTCTTCCCTAGGGAAGAGCACACCAACTGGTTATCCAGTGCCAAATGGTCAGCAATGAAAACTTACACACAAGTAACATAATACAGACAGAGCAGGTTATATTTAGGAATATATGTGTATATATACATATATGCATGTAATAACAAAGAAAAAGGAGGCCATGAACTTGAAAAAGAGCCAAGAGGACTATATGGGAGGGCTTGAAGGGAGGAAAGAGGAGAAATAATGTAATTATATTATGATCTCAAAAATTAAATCAAAAAGCAATATGATGTAGAAACTTTTTAAAATAAAATTTTATATATCAACATTTCCTTCTATGGAAGTAATGGTTGTCATTTACCCTGATGAATTTTATGTGTGTCTGAGTCACCTGTCTAGGCTCACTCCACAAATGTGACAGTTCATCTCAATGCTTATTCTTGCTTTATGGAGCAAATACTATGTCCATGAGAAAAGTAAAATATGTATAAATATTTGTATGGCTCTTTAGCAAACAAGAAAGGCTACTTTCTCTGCTGTATGTAAGTTGTTGTCTTTTATAGTACTAGAATTTCATTAAGGTAAAAATGCACAGAATTGAACCTCCTAAATCACCTTCGATGAAACTGATGGGGGATGTATTTGAATGCTTTAACCATCTACTGAGAAAGTATAATGTATGACAGATTTGTTCACACGTTTGCTTGAAGGGATGCAAGTGCAGGGTATAAGCTCTAGCCAGGGACTAGAGCTCCTTGAATACCCTGGATAGGGAGAGGCTTTTGTGGTATTGTATTCCCCCAAATATTGTGCATGCTAATAAACTTATCTGGGATCAGAGACAGAGCAGCCACAATATTAAGCATAAAGGATAGGCAGTGGTAGCACACGCCTTTAATCTTAGCATTCCAGGGTCAGAAATCCATGTGTTCAAGGATACAGACAGGCATGGTGACTCATCATGCCTTTAATCCCAGGGAGTGGTGGTAGAAAGCAGAAAGGTATATAAGGTGTGAGGACCAGAAACTAGTAGCATTTGTCTGGCCAAGTATTTGGCTGGTTAAGCATTCAGGCTTTGAGCAACAATTCAGCTGAGACCCATTCTGGATGAGGACTCAGAGGCCTCCAGTCTGAGGAGACAAGAGCAGCTGAGGATCTGGCGAGGTGAGGTAGCTGTGGCTTGTTCTGTATCTCTGATCTTCGAGCTTCACCCCAATACCTGGCTCACAGGTATGATTTTACTAATAAAATTCTCTAAAATTCCATCTACAGGCTTTGTCAGTCTCAAAGCAGTTTCAAAGCAGAATTTGTTGAGCTGACACTTTGAGGAGAAGCTGACACTATGAGTAGGAAGCCTTCACAGAAAGGGAATCCAACTGGTTGTTGAAGAGAGGCAGGCAAGCACAGGAAATACTTGAGCAACTCAGGACTCCACCAGGCTTGGTCTATACTGCATCTCTCTTCTAACAATGCAACCTAGGACCCTTATCTGTACACATGATACATATACTACTATCCCAAGACAATGAAACTAGCAACCTGTGAATAACCTAGGACTCGTATCTGCAAATAAATTCCTTTTCCCCTTAAAGATCTTCAAACTTGTGCAGTTACTATTCAAATGTATTTGTAGTACATCTAGGTATGAGGGTAGTAGAGGTGATCAAGTCTGATCTGGTTTTGGAGGCCCATTCAATAAGGCAAACTGTGTCCTCAAAAGGAAATCTGATTGACATTTCCCCCATTTAATTTGCATAATTGGACACATACCTCTACATAACTGAACACAAAAGATTAAAATCAGATGTATTATGAGAAGGTGAATGCAAAGTAAGAAAATGACTATATACTCAAAAACCATCCACCAAAAAAGAAAACCACCCACATCAAAGCCATAGTAATCAAACTCTTCTTTCTCTTCAACAACATAAAAAGAAGATGCAAATAATAACTGCAGCCTTTGAGTACTGTCGTTCATATGGCTCACTGTCAATCTTTTTTTGTTGTTATTGTTAGGTTTTTTTTGGGGGGGGGTGTTTTGAGACAGGGTTTCTCTGTAGCTTTGGAGCCTGTCCTGGAATTCACTCTGTAGCCCAGGCTGGCCTCAAACTCACAGAGATCTACCTGTTTCTGCCTCCCAAGTGCTGGGATTAAAGGTGTTTGCCACCACCGCCCAGCAAGGCTCACTGTCAATCTTGACAATGTATTCCTTCCTAATTTGTATAATCACTTTGTTTAGAATTAAATTTTCCTGTTACCTTTCCAATTTGTATGATCTGTGTCTTTTATTTTGAATTAGAGGTCAAGGTCCTGAAAAGGTCCAGCCAAACTGCAAAGACTTGGTCACAGTCAGTGAAGTGGAGGTATCTATCTAGCAACAGATGCCCTAGCCACACCACACTAATGGATGTTATAGATGAATTTTGAAGCATCATCCTTATTATTTATACAGTTTTCTAGATCCATCAAAGTACTACAAACTAGATGTTTTGAAATAACTAAAATTTAGTACCTCACATTAACTGAGGCAATAGTAGTGTTGGCTTCTTCTGAAGGGTCTGAGAATCTGTTCCCTGACTTTGCCCCAGTTTCTGGTGGCAGCTTTTCAGTTTTGGGTATATAAATGCTCCACTTACCTTAACTAATGACATCAGCAAAATTTCTATTTCCAAATAAATTTACATTCTCAGATTCCAGGAAGACATGAAATTGAGGAGGAACATGCTTAGCTAACGATACCTCCAAAGCTACCTACCATTTGAAATATTGGCATTTAGACAAAGCTGCTGAGGTGCAGGGTCCGTGTTTCACTGAGATATTAGAAAAGCCACTTTAACCTGTTCTGGATTTACAACTCCGTGTCCTTTGGTTTGTTCCTTTCAAAACTGAGATTGAAATTTAATTGTCATTTTGCTGATACTAACAATTGGGATCTGGAGGCCATGGATAGGACTCAGTAGCTAAACTGCTTGCTACACAGGATGAGGACCTGAGTTCAGATTCCTGGTACCAATATCAAAAAAAAAAAATGGTGTGTTCCTGTAATCCTATAACTGGTAAGGAAGGCACAGGAGGATCCTTGGTTGTAGCTGGAGTTTTCTCTCCAGGTCCTGCCAAGCCCCGGCAGTCTGACAGCCCACTTATAAAATAAACACACAGACGCTTATATTATTTACAAACTGTATGGCCATGGCAGGCTTCTTGCTAAGTGTTCTTATATCTTAAATTAACC